ATTATCTAACTGATGATTTAAATATTACATGCACATATATATAACTTATAAAATTTATTTGCATATATGCATGTACACAAGATCGAATACTAGTTAAACTAAATATGCCTGTATTATTTGGATATTATTATTATCAACGTAAAAAAAAAAAAATCATTTCTTCGCGTACCTGAAGTTTATGTCTCCATTAACAAATGCAAGTGGAACATATTCTTCTCCAGCATTAATCTTTGACCAATGAAAATGAACTCTACCACCCCCACCACCCCCACCCCCGAAACATCCACCAATGCCCCCAACAACAGATATAGACGAGTTCTCAGCAAGTGCAAGGGATTGAAGAAAGAGAAGGATAGTTCCTCCCGAACCTCCACCAAGTCCACCTACGAGACTACTATTCCTATTACGAGTTGGCTTGTGGTAACTTTCGCCATCGGCACTGATCAATCCATAATTATCCAGCCTTAGAAGTGGCCACAATTTGGATCCAATCACTACAGTATAAAAAAGTTCACAAAGTCAAATACAAATTCTTTTAAGAACATAGAAGAAGATAATTTTTATAGTATATCCCAAAGCTCAGAATTCATGAATACTTCAGAAAAATTAAGGCGAGTTTACATAACACTTCATCCATCCTAATACAAAAAGGTTAGCAAAGAATTAAGTCCAACAGGCGAGTAAAGCATGATTCAAAAGATCTTTTTTCCAAGCACAAAATGATAGAATTGCAATTGTCAGCTACTCAATAACAAGCATACGGTAGTTTGGATCCAATCACTTAGTCAATACACTAGAGTGATACAATAAAGCCAACAACAAACTGGAAAGAATTTAAAGTACAAATTCTTTCAAGAACTTAGAAGATAACTTTTTAGAAGGGTATATTCACTTGAGATTTCTAAAGAGTTTTTAGAAGTTTAGAAATCCTGGTGTATTTAATTTAGACATTTTAAGACTTTTAAAGTCTTGGGGTATTTATTTGGAATATTAAGTCTTATGAGATATTTAACTTATTTGACATTATTATTTGATACTAGGATTTGTTAAAGACTTTTTAAGATTTGCTGGAACTTCTAAAGAAAAAACCTTATACAAAATCAAACTCACAATCCCTCCTCCACACTTAACATTTCACAGGATTTCGAAATCTCAAAATCTTAAAAAGTATCAAATATCAAAAAGTCTCTCGAGATCCAAATGAATACC